TATGTATATATATATGCACATACATATATATGTATATATAATACATAGAAACAAGGCACCATCAAGTTTTCATAACAAAATTCTATCATGTTTTAATTCCATTTTTCCATGAACATTTTGAAGCTCCCTCATGTATGAAATTCTGCCTTACAGTGAAAGAAGGCAGTTCTTTGGATGGCCCAAACAGCTACAATCACTCTCCATCCCAAGCCTTCCAAACTTTTGGGCATCAGAAAAAAGCATATTTCTGCTCTCCGTGGCCCCTCCCAGTCTGAGGTATAATGGTTTCTCTAAATAAGTAGCAGGGATAAAGAGATATAATTCTGAGCTAACAATTCAAGTCTGGTTCCCTAAGTCTGATTACCTCCTGGGGATAAGGCTGGAAAACTTACACAGTATTTGCAATATGAAATATACAACCTGCCTAATAAAACTGGGTGGGGGAAAATCAAGGCTCATTGTCCACAGTGCAGAGAGGAGGTCACCATGGGAAGTTTTTATCTTGCCAGGGAAGTTTTTGAGCCAGGGAGGACCACTGGTGGTGAAATTTTCCTGTTGAACATGGTCGGTCTGTTGTCTAGTTAAGTAATTAAAAAAGCTTTCATTACTGTCACCGTGTCCTGTGTGTACAACCTAATTATGATAAATGGACATAATGTCCACGGAGTGGTTAGCACCACTGGGTAGAATCCCAGTACTCTGATAAGTACTTGGGATCTGGAGACAGTCTTTAAGGCAACCCTGTTTTTGCAATGCATACAGAATTGTGATTTTCCTTAAAAGACAGGGTACATGATTTGTTTTTATTAATAAATGGTGTACTATTCCATGTTTGAACCTCAAAGCCAGTGGTTCAAGCTCACCAGCTGCTCCTCAGAAACTTTACAGAGGGTTGCTATGAGTCAGAATCTACTTGACAGCACTTAACAACAACAACTCCACATGATGTATAGAGCACACAATAGCTACAGTGGAACCAACTGTGCTGACCTATGGCACTAAAGGTCTCTGATAGTGGTGGCTGTGTACTATCAGTTCTGACTCATAGCACCCCTGTACAGAGTTTCTGAGGCTGTAAATCTTTACGGGAGCAGAAAGCCTCACCTTTCTGTTGTATAGCAGCTGGTGGATTTTAACTACTGACCTTGTGTTTAGCACCCCAACAAGAAACCCTCTATGCCAAAATTCCATAAGTACCTGCAAAAGCCATGCAGACATGGTCATCGAGGGCACAGATTTTCCTCACAGTTCTTTCATCTTGAAGCTTGGCAACAGATTTTTTTTCTACTGCAAGCACAACTATATTGGTACCTCGAATTCCGACCTGTAAAAGTGATTTACAAACGTAATTAGCAGCCCAACTCGTAACCACTATGCCACCAGGGCTCCACTGCATTCTGACCTGTACAGATCCTGCACAGGGTGTTCTGAGGATCAGGTGGTGGGTTTAAAACACGGAACTTGTGGTTAGCGGTTCAGTGTTGATCCTACAGAAGTCCTAACAGGATCATACCAGGAGTCCTGATAATGACAGCCACACCAAAACTCTTCAAGGCTTCTCATTCCCTCGTTGTTGTTAAGTGCCATCAAGTTGGTTCTGACTCAAAACAACTTTGTATAGGGTTCCGAGAAGTGGCTGGCCTGATGGGTTTGAAATGCTGACCTTACATTTAGCAGTCCAGTGCTTACCCTACAATAGCATCAAGTATTTTCTCACTTGTTTTAAAAGCATTTCATGATCCAGTCCCTGTTTACAGCTTCATCTCTCTTTCTGTTTTTCCACTGATAAAACATATCTGCCTTTTGCTACTTTCCCACATGCTTTTTCCTTTGCCTAAAATACTTGGTACAGTTTAATTTTCTATCACTTTATCTGTCTATCTTTAAGGTCTCTGTTTCAATATTCCTTCTCAGGAAGACCTCCATAACTGTTGTTCTAGCTGGATGCTAGTGAGTCATAGCAACCACATACGACAGAACACAATGGCCTCAAAAGGTTTTCTAGACTCTTATCTTTACAGAAGTCATGGTGTGGCACTATAGGATAAGCACTGGACCACACAGTCAGTTTGAACTGCAAGGTTGGTGGTTCAAACCCACCTTGTTATGAGAAGGAGTTAAGACTACGAGTTAAGACTGACTCAATAGCACTAATACCAATAACAACAATCTATTCAGGAGCAGACCTCTAAGTCTCTCTCGATTGCAAGTCCCAACCAAAAACTTTTGGTTAGCAGCCAAGGGCTTAACATGGAGCAACCAAGACTCCTTTCCCCAACCCTGGTAGTGGTGGTGTGCTATGGAGTTGGTTCTGACTCATAGCGACACTGCACACAGGGTTTCTGAGGCTGCAAATCTTTATGGAAGCAGAAAGCCTCATTCTTTTCCTGCAGAATGGCTGGTGGTTTCAAACTGCTGACCTTGAGATTAGCAGCTCGACTTGTAACCATTACACTACCAGAGCTCCTTTCCCTCACCCTAGAATTCCCATAATGTCCCATACTTTCCATTATAAAACTCATTATGACTTTATTAGGATTAAATTCCTTGCTAAATCATAAGCTCTCTGAGGAAAGAGATTGGTGGTGGTGGTGGTGAAGTGTCGTGGAGTCGGTTCTGACTCACAGCGACCCTGTACTGGGTTTTCGAGACTGTAAATCTTTATGGGAGCAGAAAACCTCATCTTTCTCCTGCAGAACAGCTGGTAGTTTCGAACTGCTGACCTTGTGGTTCGCAGCCTGATTTGTAACCACTGTGTGTCTACCTTATTCATAATGCAACTCTAGGGTCTAGCACCACAATTGTCTTATGTAAGCATTCAACAAAAATGTCTTGCAATAAAAAAAAATGATAAATGAAAGAATTATAGATGATATTGAAAGCAAAAATAGTAAATAAGAGAGTCGCTGAACACCTCTGTTCGGTTAGCAGTGCACCTGCCAACTGCTCCTGGGACCACGGCCAACGCAGAGTGCACCTTCATCACCATTAAACCAGACGGAGTGCAGGATGGCCTGGTTAGTGACAGCATCAAGTGCTTTGAGAGAATGGATTCCCCTTGTGGCCAGGCAGCCCATGAAAGCCTCAGAGGAGCACCTGAAGCAGCACCACATGGACCTGAAAGACTGCCCATTCTTCCCAAGGCTGGTAAAGTACATGAATTCAAGATGACTGTGGCTATAGTCTGGGAGGGGCTGAATGTGGTGAACACAGGTAGAGTGATGCTTGGGGAGACAAACCCATCCAATTCTATGCCAGGCACCATTCATGGGGATTTCTGTATTCAAGTTGGCAGGAACATCATTCATGGCAATGATTCAGTAAAAAGTGAGAAATAAGTCAATCTCTGGTTTAAGCTGGATGAACTGGTTGACTACAAGTCTTGTGACTATGACTGAATGTATGAATAAAAGACAAACAAGCCCCACCACCACCACCCCCGGCCACAGCTCTTCATTTCACATATTTGAAAGCAATAAGATACTAAGGATCCTTTTCTAAAGCCTTTGGAAAGTGGAAAAAAGTAAGTAAGCAAGTAAGTAAACAATAGTTAACTACGTGGCGTTGTAGGATAAGCACTCTACCAAAAGTTGGTTTGAACCACAAGGTCCATGGTTCAGACTCACCAATAGCTCCTCAGAAACCCTATACAGGGTGGATACAACACAGAACTGACTCTACAACACGAAACACCAACAACACTACTTACTAGGTGCCCTGGGCTGCTAACTGCAAGGCCAGAAGTTCAAATTTACCAGCTGCTGTATGGGAGAAAGATGAAGCTTTTCCCCATAAATATTCACAGCCTCAGAAATCCTATACAGAGTCACTATGATTTCGTACCTACTCAACAGCACTCAAATACTACTACTTACTAACAAATCCTCACAACTGGACCAATAAATAACATCATGATAGAGAAAAGACTGAAACTGTGAAAGACTTTATCTTGTTTGTATCCACAATCCATACTCATGGAAGCAGCAGTCAGGAAATCAAATGACATATTGCGTTAGGCACATCTGCTGCACAAGATCTCTTTAAAGTATTCAAATGCAAAGGTATTAACTTGAGGCATAAGGTGTGCCTGACTAAAGCCATGCTATATAGCGTCATGTGAAAGTTGGACAGTGAATAGAAGAATTGATGTGTTTGAGTTATTGTGTTGGAGAATACTGAAAATTCCACGGACTGCTAGAAGAACAAACAAATCTGTTTTTAAAGAAGTACAATGAGAATGCTCCTTAGAAGCCAGGATGGCGAGCCTTCATCTCTCATACTTCAGACATGTTATCAGGTAGGAGTCCCAGAACGACAAATCATGCTTGGTAAAGTGGAAGTTCAAAGAAAAAGAGAAAGAACCCTAACAAGAAGGGTCGACACAGTGGTAGCAGAAACAGGTTCAAGCATACCTGTGAGGATAGCACAGCACCAGGCAGTGCTTTATTCTGTTGAGCACAGGGTCACTATGAATCGTAACCGAGTCAAGGGCACATACCAATACCACATACTAAGCACTTTCTGTGAACCAGACACTATGGAAAAATACGTAACATGTATACTTACTCCTCGCTCATTGACTATCTCATTTGACATTTCACATTTTAAAAAATGGTGAAAACTCTACTAGCCAACTATTTTGTGCATTAACAACATATGTCTGTCAATAACAAATGCCAGTGAAGAGTAACGTTAGCTTTGATTAAAGTCACGTGGTTATGTGTCAACTTGGCTGGACCACAATTTTCATGGTTTGGAAGTTATGAACTGATGTAATTTGGCAGTTACACAATGATATAGTAATCTTCCATTTTTTATGATCTGAAGTGGTCATCCTCTATTTTTGCATAATGCTGATTTTCTCATAATGATCTGGTCTTTAGATCCTAAACTTGTTGATAAGAATATATTATCTACCTACTTCAACTCTCACATCAACCCTATGAGGCAGGTGCTTATTTTACTACTAAACTGAAGCTTAAAGTTAATTACCTTAAGTGATACACAACTGGGCTTCCACATCCTAACAATAGCTAACAGTTACTGACCTTGAACAAAGAGCAGAGATTTTGAAAGATACATGTAAGTGTAGAAATGGATTCCAACACTTTCTAGCTAGGTAGCTTCAGTAATTTATGACAGCATTTGAATTACAGCTTCCATATATGTAAAAAGGTAATTGCTGTTGTTTTGTTTAGTGCCATCAAGTTGGTTATGCCTCATAGTGACCGTGTATAGGGTTTCCAAGGAATGGTTGGTGAATTTGAATAGCCGATCTTGTAGTTCAAACTGACCTGGCAGTCCAGTGTTTATTCTAGGACAGCACATCAGGACTCCAAAAAGGTGGTGATGTTGTTATTAAGTGCCACTGAGTCAGTTCCAACTCCTAACAACCCTGTATAGGGTTTCCAAGGAGCTGTTGGTAAGTTTGAACCACCAACCTTGTGTCTCACTGACCTTGCAATCCAGTGCTTTATATCACAGTGCCACTCCAGAACGTGATTGTTGTTGTTGTTAAGTGCCGTCAAGTCAGTTCCAACTCATAGAGGCCCT